GGAGTACCTAAAAGTATTGTGTCAGATAGGGATGTAAAATTTCTTAGTCACTTTTGGAGGGTCTTGTGGAATAAGTTAGGCACTAAATTATTATTTTCTACAACCTGTCACTCACAAATCGATGGAAAAACTGAAGTAGTAAATAGGACCACGACACAACTATTGCGCACTGTGGTTAATAAGAATTTGAAGAATTGGAAAGAATGCTTACCTTTCATAGAGTTTGTATATAATAGGGCCACACACTCCACTACATCGTTTTCTCCATTTGAAATTGTTTATGGTTTTAATCCTATAACACCTATGAATTTAATACCTTTACCTGTGAATGAATGAGGTAGCTTGGATGGGAAGAGGAAGGCCGAGCTAGTAAACTCACTCCATGAAAAGGTACGAGAGCAAATTGAGAAGAAGAGTAAGCACTATGTAGAGCAAGCAAACAAGGGCAGGAAGATTGTTACATTCGAACCAGGAGATTGGATTTGGGTGTATTTCAGGAAAGAGCGATTTCCAGAACAAAGAAAATCAAAGTTGTTGCCACAGGGAGATGGACCGTTTCAAGTGCTTAAGAAGATCAATGACAACACATACAAATTAGATCTCCCAGCTGAGTATAACGTTTCAGCAACTTTTAATGTATTTAATCTTTCTCTCTTTCATGCAGGTACAGATTTGAGGATGAATCCTTTCGAAGAAGGAAGAGATGATGTGAGCCAAAGGTCACAAGCGTCAAAGTCAAGTCCAACGTCAAGCCCTAAGAAAGATCCGTTGATAGTTGAGGGCGGTCCGATGACTCGAGCAAGGACGAAGCGAGTAGAAGAGGCGATGAGATTGCTCGTCAAGGCAACTATTGATGAAATCATGTTCGGGGCTCAAAATGGGACAAGTTTCATGTTGGGGTCGAAGGCCCAGGAGACTTGGATCAACATGTTAAAGGCGGACGAAAATAGAGTGGAGAGCCAAAGCTGTGCGACCGCACAGCACAATTGGCCTACGGTCGCACAGACCTAGGCCGAGAATTGAAGGAGGCCAGACTACAATTCCATGCAGCCGCATGGAATTGAACCATGCGACCGCATGGTTATTTTCAAACGCGTTTTTTTTTTTTTTTTGCGATTTTCCTAGTTTTGCTAGAATTCTATATTTTATTGATTTCTTACCCTATTTAGGAGATTATGCACGAAATTACCTAGATTCTTAGGACTAGTATAAATACTCTTATTATTTTCATTGTAAAAAAGACTTTTGACATATTGATTAATTGAAAGGCTTAATTGCTTTCTTTTTGTTCTTCCAATTGAATAACTTTCGAACTTATCAAGATCTAATTCTTTTGGCGTTCAAATCAATCGGGTGAGATTCCATAATTTTGTGTAATCAAGAGGTCTGCACTCGACGATTCGGGTTGCTTGGTTCTAAATTTATTGAAATTGAATCCAAAACCTTGTTTTGACTTTCTTGGGAAGATTTTCATCTTGTTCGTGGGTTCCATAGCGTTTGCCTATGCGGGGTCACATCATGCTATGTTGAGCATAACGATTTTAGACTATTATGTTTGAAATGTTTATTATGACGGTAGTGCATGACTGACATTTAATCCGTGAATGAGCATGATTCAATGTGTGAATCTTAATATTGCTTAGATCTAAAATAAAATTCAAATGCTGAAAGATTCGGAGAACAAAGCATTGAACCATGATATAAGTGGGGATAATTTATAATCGTCACCAAATTCTCCAAAACACGACAAAATTTAATCAACCTA